TTGTCATTGATCTTCTTGACTACCTTGTATGGCCATATTTTCTCGGCTTCAACTTGTTATAGGAACCAAGAGGAAACCACTCCTTGCGTAGAAACACCATCACATGATCACCTTCAGCAAACAATTTCTCATGCCTCTTGACATCCGCAGCAGCCTTATATTTTGCGTTCTTCCCCTCCAACCTAGCCTTCACTTCTGCCTGAACATTACGAACTTGTTCAGCCATATTGGAACCAGTAACCTTGGGAAGGCGAGCCAAGTCCAATGCATGTTTAGGAGGTTTCAAATACACCAAAGAGAAAGGGGATCTACCCGTAGCAGTGTGAACCGCATTATTATACGCGAACTCGGCTTGCGCCAGCGCCACATCCCACTGTTCTGGTTTATCACCACAAATGCCGCGTATTAAATTCCCCAGCGTCCTATTCAGATTTTCAGTCTGTCCATCAGTTTGTGGGTGTGTTGTACTACTGAATCTCAGAGTAGTATCCATCCGCCGCTACAGTGTAACCCAAAAATGATTAAGGAATTTCGAGTCCCTGTAAAAAATGATGGATTGGGGAACTCCATGCAAACGAACCACTTCACGAAAGAATAACTGGGCTATATGAGAAGCATCAGATGTTTTTCGGCATGGGATAAAATGCCCCATTTTGGAAAACCTATCAATTACAACAAATACAGAATCTACTCCACGCTGAGTTCGAGGCAGCCCCAAAACAAAGTCCATCGATAAATCTTTCCATATTGCATTTGGCACAAGTAGAGGTATGTATAAACCAGTATTCTAAGCTTGCCCCTTTGAAGTCTGACATACATAACACTTACGGACCAGATTTCCCACGCCACGTTTCAACTGAGGCCAGTAATACCGCTCAGCTACTCCACTGATAGTTTTATCACGTCCCAAGTGTCCACTCAAACCCCCACCATGCAGTTCTCGTATCAGTTTCTCCCTCAAGGAACTCCGAGGAACACACAGCTGATTACCATGAAACAGGCAGCCATCAACAATATGGAACTCCCCCTCTGTTTGCTGCAGGACACATTTCTCCCACACCTTGGCGAAGTCTTCATCATCAGTATACAATTCTTTCAGAAACTCGAACCCAACAATCTCTTACTGCATAGTCACCAGCAAACTTGCACGTCGACTTAATGCATCGGCTACTTTATTCAGAACCCCGAACTTATGCTTCAGAACGAAAGGAAATTTCTGCACGTAGGCTGACCATCGAGCATGCATATTACTTAAGCTCCTCTGACTATTTAGGTACTTCAATGCCCGATGATCAGTATATAATATGAATTCCTGTTGAATCAGATAATACTCCCAATGTTTAAGAGCACGAACAATGGCGTAAAATTCCTGATCATAGGTGCTCCACTTCCGCCGCGCATTACTGAGTTTCTCGCTGAAGAATGCCATTGGCTTCTTCTCTTGGGAAAGAACTGCTCCAACCCCAATTCCACTGGCATCACATTCTACCTCAAATAATTTCTCAAAGCTGGGCAAGGCAAGGACGGGAGTAGTGCAAACTTTTCCTTGATCACTGCAAAAGTCGTATCAGCTACTTCACCCCAATTGAATTTTCCTTTCTTTAAACAGTCGGTTATAGGTGCTACAATGCTATTGAAATATCTAATAAATCAACGGTAGAACGTCACCAACCCATGGAAACTCCTCACTTCCCCTACTGTCTTCAGTGTTGGCCACTCACGAATGGCTTTCACTTTCTCTTCATCCACTAATAGCCCCTCTGAACTGACTACATATCCCAAGAATAAAAATTTTTCAGTTAGCCAACTGCACTTCTTAAAGTTAATAAGCAGTTTATTCTTGGACAACACCTCCAACACAGCCAGAAGATGATCCATATGCTCACTCTCACTCCGACTGTAAATCAATATATCGTCAAAATAAACGATTACATACTTTCCAATGAAAGGTCGCAATACCTGATTCATAAGTAGCATAAATGTGCTCGGCGCGTTTGACAGTCCGAATGGCATCACCAACCACTCGTAGAGTCCATCATTCGTCTTGAAAGCAATTTTCCATTCATCACCTGGTTTCACTCGAATCTGATGGTACCCACTGCGCAGATCAATTTTGGAGAACAACTTCGAACCCTCTAACATATCCAGCATGTCATCCAACCGCGGAATTGGAAAGCTGTACCTGACCGTTATCCTATTTATGGCGCGACTATCAACACACATCTTCCAACTTCCATCTTTCTTTGGAACTAGCAAAACGAGGACAGCGCATGGACTCATGCTCTCGCGAATAAACCCCTTCTTCATCAATTCTTCTACCTTTTCCTGCAAAATCTGATTTTCCTTCGGACTCATTCGGTAGTGTGGCAGATTCGGTAAACTCGCTCCCGGAACCAAATCAACGGTGGAAGGTCATTTGGTAAATCATCAGATACCATCTCACTGAATTCGGCCAAAAGGGACTGCACCTTCTCGGGTACCACCTCCATCTGCTTTCCTTTTTCTTCTATCACTAGAGCTCGCACAACTACAACATGAACCTCCTATGCTTCCTTAACCTCCAACTCCAAATCTGTTAGGGAAGTAACTAAGGAGAGTAATGATTAACCTCCCACTGTAGCCTTAGTTGAGACACCAACTGAACTCCGCTTTGGGACCATTGCGATTTTTCTATCTTCCCAATTGAAAACATACACATTCTCTCGCCCCCTATAGGTCACATGCACATCAAACTGCCATGTACGCCCCAACAACACATGACTAGCACCCATGTCGACTACCTCACACACCACCTCATCTAGGTAATGTTGTCTAATTGAAATAGGAACTTTGCACACTTCTGCTACGCTCACCTTATGCCCTTTCTGGATCCACCCAATCACATAAGGTTTCAGGTATTTTTCAACCTGTAACTTCAGATGCTCCACAGCCTTTTGGATACAAAATTTTCACAACTACCAGTATCAACAATCAAATCGCAGACCTTACCTTGCACACTGCAACAAGCTTTAAAAATATTATTTCTCTGCGAGGAATCCTCCACCTTTGTTGAGCACATGACACTCTGAACCACAAGGTTTACAAACTATCCCCGCTCTTCTGCAATTTCTGCCCCATCCAACAGTTCTTCCACTTCAGCCCCTTCTTCTACATACTGCTCCTCTTCACCATCCTCTCCAGCATCCACAAAATTCACTGATCTTCTGGCTGGACATTCATTTGAGCGATGCCCCGGTTGGCCACATCCGTAACATTTAAAACCACCCGGTTTAGCATACGGATTTGGTGCTTGTGGGGCTTCTTTTTCAACTGCTGTTGGGCGAGTCCCAGCCTGATTATTAGTAGAGGCCGCACTTCGATGAACCTAGTCTGTAGCTGATTTGGACGAAATCTGCCCATCAGGTGATGTGAACTTGCCCCTATTCGCTGTTGTGTAAGATGACTCACTCGTGTTATTATAGTTGGAAAAACGAGCAGATGTTTTCTCCATCAGTTCTGCCTTCATGGCCATATTATGTGTCTTATCAACTGTCCAAACCACCTGTAACCCAATTCTATCTCTAATGGATGGCTTCAATCCTCCCAAATACCTGGAAATCCGTTGCGCCTCTGACTCACTCAGATTATTTTGAACTGAAAGCCTGGACCATTCCTCTGTATAGTCTGCAACAGATTTGTTCCTCTGCACACAATTCTGGAAGCTCTGGAATATGAATTGTTCGTAATCAGGCGGCAAGAATTTGTTCATCATGAGTTGTTTCATCCTCCTCCAAGATCGGATGGGAGTCTTGCCTTGGCGCCGTCTATCCATCTGCAACCGTTCCTACTAAACAGCAGCCCCGCTCCTCAATTTATATGAAACCAATTTGACTTGACGTTCCTCCGCGACCTCTGTGAAATTGAAGAATCGTTCAACCTCAGAGATCCAATCCAGAAACTCCTCGACCTGTAACTTACCATGGAACAATGGTATGTCTGCGCGGATCCTGTAATAGGGCTGATTTCGGCCCTGTTGCTGATTTTCTGGAACGCCTGCGAACTCCTCTTCTGAATCATCGCTAATATCAGCATATGGTCTGTTTCTGACGACCCTAGGAAGGCGTTCTACCGCAGGACGATTGAGGGCGCCGTCATCGACAGGGACAGGAGGACGCTCCAACAGACGCTAAACCATAGCCTCCAATCTCGCCATCGCTTGCCTCTGTTCGTCAATTGCTGCGCACAGATCTGCATCTGTATCCCTGCGACCAGCGTCGCAAGAATTAATTCTTCCTCCTTCGTTGTTGTTGGCCATTGAAAAAACAAGGCAAATCCTTGCTCTGATACCACTTGAAGAACCAAATTTGGAATCCACCAAGAAACGAAATTTTATAATAATCAATAATGATCCGAAAAACATTCAAAAGCCTTTAAATATGCGTTATAAGAAACCCTGAAAATATAGAATATTAAAACATTCCAAAAATAGCGAAAATCTAAAACTGGAAATATGTAAATTAATTATTTGAATGCCTAAACGAAGGAATTTGGCTAAAATCACGAGATCTCGGGCTTTGCCCCAAGTCTAATTTTTCAGGCCGTTTCCAATCAACCTGCCAAATTTCAGCCCATTTCGACACCATCACGCCAATGACCAAATTGCCCCTGACGCGATCTTTCTTCGTCAATTTCCTGTCCAACACTTCTTCAAACTCCAAATCTAGTTGTCCTACATCAGCTAAAGCGTTTAAATTAGAAATTAAAATTGTTTCCAAAATTACACTATAGGCCGAATTCTTTCACCAAGATAAAGATTATTCGCGCTGTCATGCAGAAACACGTTGAAAGAAGAAAAGCAATTCTTAGGAGTTCTTTAAAATATCCTTACATATCTAGAATATGTGTGGTCAGTCACAAAATTTCTAATTTCTGCTCATTCCTTCTTAAGAATTTATAGATCTTTTTTTTTTTTTACTATAATTGCTCAAATTTCACGATATGAGAATCAAAGATTGGGGACCATGTTTAATTTACCTTTTTTGAAAAGCAGTAGCGTAATTTTAATATTTAAATAGTTTAAGGGTCTCAATATAATTTGATCCCAATACTAATTAGGACTCACCTGCCAAATTTGTACCGAGTAAAACCTCTTCTACCTCGTTAGGGTTTTTGCAATTATAGCTTTCTTCAATCTATACGAAGAACAGAGTCTAAGTATTCCGCCCTTTGTAGTCGCTTGCTTCCGATTTCCCTACTCGACCGGATTCAATCCCTTCCGCCTTCCCGTGGCACCTTTCTGCATATTATTTTTCTGAATTGGTAAAATTTGTTTGATTTTCTGTAGGTGAAAAGAAATTGACGTTTTCAGTTAATTGCATTAGTGTATCTTGTAATTTTTGTGTGCTTGTTTAATTATTTATCCCTTTTTTTTATCTGATTAGTTAATTATTTTGCTCAACCTAGGAATATCTTGTATGTTCATGTATTTATATACCGTCTATTTGGGCGAGTGAAAATTAAATCCTTAAAGGGCTTTGTTATATTCTAGCAGTTTTGCTAAAGAGATTATGGGTTCCTATATTGAAATTCTTAAACTTATATTTGATTTTACATTCCCAAGAATAAAGATGTTATTTTTAGCTATGATTTCCATAGAACAACAGAGCTGTATTGAGAACTATTGCATTAATAGTTTACTTCATTATGTTCAGTTCATTGCTAATTCTATTTCTAGATCTAAAGCATTTAGATCCTTTACAATCAGAAAGGTCCATTTTAACTTTTGGTTAATCCGACATAGCTCCTTGCTTGGAAGGGACACCTCAACAAAGTATATAAAATTTCACGTCTCAAGATGACAAAAAACTGTTGGCTGTCAGTCTAACCACGTGTTTGATGCACATTATTAAGGGAAGAATGTATTTTAAATAGTGATGTGATGGAAAATATATGGTTAAAAATAAGGAAAGGTTTGGATGTGATGGAAAATATTCTTTTATTGAAAAATGTGTAGTTGGAAATGAGTTTTGGGAGAATGAATTTTGAAAGAATGTGGATCAAACAGGGCTTAAGATTGAACTTCTTGTGTTTTTTATAGTAATTTTATCTAAGCAAAATCTAAAGCACAGCAATTTCCTTGATACTTGCCTAGTGTAGAAACTGATATTCTCGTTTACTAGAATAAGGAAGAAAAAGAGCGAAATGCATTTGTTTTTATGCTACGGTCTAATTTCTACAAAACGTTTATGGCTGAATTTTGCAACTGCAGTTATTTCTTGCATTCGATAACTTTTCTGTTTCACTCATTTGTGCTGTGCATGTATAGCCCCTGTTTGAGCCACATTATTTTTCTCATTCTCATTCTTCTACTCATTTTCAACCAAACGTTCTTCAATAAAATAATATTTTCCATCACAACAATAATTTTTCATTCTTTTTTAATCACATAATCCCCATCACACCACTTCAAAAAAATGCATCTTCTCATTTTAATATGCACCAAACACACTCATAGTTAGGGCTGTAAGCAAAAACCGCCAAATAGGAAAATCGAACCGAAACCGCAATTTCGAAACCGGCAGTTTAGTGCCACGTGGACCCGTCAACGAAATGGTTTTGAACCAAACCAAACCGGTCAAAAACAGTTTGGTTTAGGTTTGAGAATTTTAATTATGGTTTGAAACCAAACCGGACCAGCGAAAAATATATAAAATTAAAAAATTAAAAATTAATATTTATTTGAAAATTTATCCAAAATTTCAATTTTGTAAAATTGAATAATTTTGTCATTTTGTAGGTATTTTTGTCAATTTCTAATTTCCTATTAATTATTAAGATTTACGACCCGCCCAAGCCTAATTATATATTAAAAAAAGACCCAAATTTGAAAGAAGTAGCACTAAACAGCTCAACCCAAGTCCATATAATCACAAGTCACAATCATAATCTTCCAATTTCCATTTCTCTCACT